TAATAATTAATGAATATTTTTCTTTATCAAAAATGTATTTTAACTGTGCACCGGAATCCGGGCCCAATTCCGTACCCACGATTCGATAGTATCATTTATCGTCGAGCCGTGCAAAAGTATGTACCTGACGATAGACGATACTATCGAATCGTGGGTTCGGAATCCGGGCCCTTACATATTTCTTGTCAACCCATTTTTATACATGCCAACCCAATTATTACGTCAAATCAGAGTCAAAATATGTCATAATATTGAAAATGTGAATGATTGTATATTGACTTTGACCCCAAATATCTCGGAATCTAGCCATAGCCGGACTTTGTACCCGTGAACACTTTTAATCTAAATCACATTCCCTATCGGATCCACTATTTTAAGCCAATTCGACAGAAAGGCCCTTCCCATAAGGTTTGTTTGCTTGCATTGCTTGTCACCTGGCATTGGTTGCTATTGGATTGCCCTGTATCATTAGGCGAACGATATTTTATTACGAGATTTCAAATTTATATCTGACTTTAGCAAAAGGGCATTTCTCATTAAATTAAAAATCAAGGAGTTTTATTATTAAATAAATTTTATAAGCGCTGTTTGCGCCTGCGCGAAACGACGCGGTAGCTGTGTTAGCGAGATTACACTTTTAGAATATTCTTAACACATGCTTTGAATGTACTCGAGAGATTATTTGTACTTTTAAAATTCATATTGATATGATAATAATTATTACTCACATTTTCATAAAATCTATTGAAATATTTCAGTTTTTTGATGGGATAACATGTAATTTTTGTATTATTTATAATATGCTTTTTCAGATGTTCCTGGCATATACTTCGAATATACTTGAAGTAAGTGTACTTTTTATGTTCCGAAGTAACTAATCTGCCATATTAGAAGTTAATTAGAAGTAACTACAGGAATTTCATTAAAGCTATGTTCAAGTTTTCTTGCACCAAATTTTTGAAAAGCGATTTTGGAGATCGAAGATACATGGTCATGCCAAGACAAGTTGGTGGATGCGGTCACCCCAAGAAGAGATACTGAGGGATTGATAGGAAGGTTTTGTCCCGACATCCTTAAAACTGGGTTGTCATTTGCGGAAGATTTCCTATTTGAGAATACTGTTGCTTGAGTTTTGAAAGCATTGAATTTGAATAGGTTGTTAAGGCCCCAGTTGGTAATAGTGACAAGATCACTGTTGATAGAGTGAATCTGTTCTCGGTCGAAGCGTGTGTAAGTGGCTGCAGCACGCAGTTTGTCACAAGAGAAAGAAGCTATCAAGCTACGATCGTCCTCAAAGCTGTATATGGGATTTCTTGTCACATTCAACAAATCATTTACAAAAATTAGAAACGATGTTGGTGACAGAAATGAGCCTTGGGGAACGACGGTAATGTATAGGCAGTGTATCAGAAGACACGCCATCGACCAGAACATGCAGTGACCTGCTTTCCAAAAAGCTCCCCAGTTAATGGCAAAATTTGTTCGAAAGACCATACGATAGAAGTTTGCTGAGGAGATGTACAATGCTACAATTCTGGATTTGACATGGTTTCCGAGAGTCGAGTTCCAAATATGATTGACGTACGCCAGCAGATATCCTGTTGATCTTCTACAACGAAACCCGTACTGTTTGTCAGAGATGAGCTCATTGGCTTAGAGATATTTAACCAGTTTCAGGGTGACTGCCTTTTCCATTACTTTCGAAGGTACGGATATAAGTGAGATGAGACGATAATTGCTAGGAAGAGTTTTCTTGTCCTTTTTAGGGATGAGCTGCACTCTAGCACATTTCCAGATAGACCGGAAAACGCCTCGACTGTAAGGCAGGCCGCACATCAAAGAAACATGAAACGTGAAACATCAAACATGAAACGTAAAACATGAAACAATAAATGACGAAAAGCGAAACCGTTTCTTTCGGGCATACTAATTGAAGAAACAAAAATAATTCTTGTTTCTTGTTGCAAATATAATTATTATATTTGCAAAGTCGTTTCAGGGTAGTGAAGTGTGAAGTAGAGTGTAGTACACAATGGAAAGTGAGGACGAGGTTGTTGTTGCTGTTGTGGCGTCTCTTTTATTATCATCAAAAAGCAAAAAAAAAGGAAACGACGTTACTGGGTACATCCATACAATAATATAAATCATAAACATATATTTGGTTGCAAAGGAATTAAATAATTATCCTGCCAAATATCAATCGTTTTATAGAAAGAGTAGAATACAAACATTCACAAAATTATTACCTATGAAGAGAAACAGTGAAACTGAAACAAAAAAATAGAACGCGATCTATTTCATGAAACACGTTTCATGTAATAAAAATGTTTCTCGCGCATGAAACAAATTCGTTTCATTGGTGTGCGGACTTGTATTTGTTTGTTCTTATTCTATTTTCATGAGACGTGTTTCACGTTTTATGTTTCATGTTTTAGGTTTCATGTTTCTTTGATGAGCGGCCTCCCTAAGAGAGTGAGACCAGTTTGCGAAGAGCTGAAGCCAATTCTGGTGCGCAAGTTTTGAGGACAATTAGTGGAATGCCGTCGGGACCACAAGATTTTCCAGAGTCAGTTGCAGAAGAATTTTAGGCCTTAATAAAACGTTGTCCATGTACAAACCAATGTGAAATTGGATGCAAATTGTTTGGCAAAGAGATCTGCTTTTTCCTTTAACGAAACTACGATAGAATTATTGTCATTAACTAAAGGTGAAAAGGAAGAAGAAGTGAAATTTTTGAAGTAAAAACTTCTTTGGACCCGTATAGCACAAAGATTTTTCAGGGAGTGAATGAGATTGAGCTGTCACGCCCGAATTATTAACGCTTATTCAGTCGGATACAGTCGGCTTGGGCTGACTAAGAATAAACTCGACATTTATCATTTCAGAAGACAAGAATCAATAATCTTTCTAGGTAAGGTTTGTCGTTTATCGTCGTTCTCAATAGGCGATTTGACGTTCTGTCAATCAATCAATATTCAATATGGCGCCGTGGGCATAACAAACTTGACGACCGAGAAGGTACCTTTACATTCGATTCCAATTGATAGCAATTTGAATTGGAATTGAATGTAAACGTACCTTTACGGCTGTCAAGTATATTATGCCCACGGCGCCATATTGAATATAAATAAATTCACAGAACGTCAAATCACGCTATACCTGTGTTTTTCCTATTTTTCCTTGAACGTAATTTAATATTATACGCATGTGTATCTACATATAAATGTGTAAATAATTTTTGACAATAATATTCCTTGAGCGTAATTCAAGATACCTTTATATTTAATCTCACCTTATTGAAGTTTTCACTTCTGTCGTGCGGTCTTAAGCACACGGCATTTTTTTCCTATCTTCATATTAATCTCACCTAATTGAAGTTTTCACTTCTGTCGTGCGGTCTAAAGCACACAGCATTTTTTTCCTATGGTCTTGGTAAAGGACAAAAAAGACCTTGGCCCATTCGGGCAGTCCAAATACTACTAGATGAAGAAGCAACTGGAGCGCAAGAGCCAAACTCTTACTCTAATTGCAAACATTCTATAATTTTAACTCTGGCGTTGACATGCAGGCCGATACAGCAATAGATTGTGATATATTTTTGCCTCTCATATGTTGTTTTCGCAGCCTTTCTTGTAGGTGTAACTACGCCCAGAAAACTTTCCATCTTCCTCTGGCAGCGTTTTATTTTTTCCATGCTCCGTTGTTCTAGTGACCAAGTTTCGTATTCTTGAAAGAAAAAAATAACCTTATATTCCTAGGTTTATAGGTAATTCTGTCATTTCAGGCTGTCCCAACAGAAATCAGAGCTACGTAGAATACACTGACTGAAAGAAGCAGAAAGAAAAGTCAGACGCTGAAGTTACCGTGGACATTTGTATAATACCCATTTTTGAAGAATCTTGGAAAATCGAGAACTCTGGCTAAAATATCGGAGCAGTCCTCGATCTGCACTGCGTGCAATGGACGTACCAATAGAGAAAAAACATAAAAAGTTTGTTTGCGATTTCTGCCAGCAAAGAAAATTTTGGGTAGTTGCGGCCCCCGGTTAACTGGCAGGAAATATTATTCACTCATATAGTTTTTTCAATACTTATGTCTCAAAATGTTCTAAAAATGTTTTATTCATTTTAAATTACCAGGCACTATGGTCCTGACCGTTTTATCGTTCATTTTATACCCCTCAGTTCCACTTCAAGTAATAAAATTACCGTGATATTCTAGACTTTCCTTAGGGTGCCGATTTTCAGCCACTCTCCCCTAATACTGGCGTGAAAGAAATTTTTGCCTTCGCAATTCTTAGAATAAATTTCCCGACTTTCATCGCTCCGGAGGGATTATCTGGGCACACCTCGGGGCACACAGTACTTTCCGGGGTTGTATTTTTGCCTTCACAAATAAATTACTTTTCGTAGCTGATATAGGTATTAGATTTTTTTTTAATTACCTGCCTTTTTGACTATTTTAGGATCTTCTTATAGGATAGGTATGAATAATGTAATACACAGGTATTAGTTTCAATAAATTAATAAATAGCGGGGATATACGGAACGCCAATTTTTATTTTTATAGAAAAACTCTTTTTTCTGTGAAAGCTTTCGCAATTATTCAATTGCTACCTCAGTTACAAAAGTTGAGTTAAAATAGATTAGGTACATCTGAAAATTTTTTGTTTTTATGGTCCAAAAATGCTGACAGAATGTCCTGACATAAACAAGCCTTTTGTCTTAATGATATGAAAATGGAACTATTTCTCAAATTGCGTTATGTTTTTTTGGGACAATAAACGTAGGTATTATGGTAATATTATGTATATGTATTATTATTGAAAATGGTTAGGAATAATATTATGGAACATGGGTTGAAGCTACTAACTATCATGTCAAATTTAATTAAATATTTTCTGAAAATAACAAAAGCAAACTCCGTTCCTGGTAACGTCTGATAAACAGCTGCATTTAGGCGTCATTTTAAAAATAATTGTTAATTAACAGCAGATAATACAATATTCTATTTTAAGTTGGCATGTTAGGTAATTTTTAAAGTAACTGCATTCTTATAAAACTATTTTCAAAATCTTAATCAATTTCAGTTTATCAGCTACCGTTTTACGTTCGAAACGCGAATAAGAAATTGAAAATAATGTCGTCGGTAAGAGAGAAAATTTTCAGTTGAAATACTATTAATATTTTTTAAATATGTAAAGGAAAAAAATTACGAATATTGCAGAAAGTGTCGACAAAGTTTTTTTTTCATAGTTTTGAAAGCCAATTTTCTTTTTTAAAAATACCAACTCACGAAGAAACGACTTGAAAAAACAAGAAAATTAGTTCAGTTACTATGTCCTGAATCAATTAATATCTCATCTTTTTCGGAAAATTATATCACGATCTGCTAAGATTACATTTGTCAGATGATTGTGCGGAAGCATTCATGCCCATTTTGAAAAATTGGAATTTTTCTTCATTATCAACCATTATGTAGAATTTTACAAAGACTCATTGCGATTTTTGCTTTTTGCAGGACGAACTTTCGAAGGAACAAATTCAATGTAAGTTGAAAACTATTTTTTGATTTTAATTATTTGCCCAATTGTACCTACCTGTTTGAAGCGTGTTCCATTTAAAAGATAATAGCTTTGTTTTGTTTTCACTCAGAACTAGTTCGGAATCATTCTGCATATACGTATGTTATAAAATGCGTTTTCGTTTTTTCAGAATCGTAATCGAACTGTGTTGACAGCGTTTTGGTTTATTAAGAACTACATAAGAACAATTCTGGGATTGTTCTAGAACGTTTCTCTCAGTTCTTGCTCTGAAGGAGGAATTGTTATGGAATTTTGTAATAAGCGGCTTGTTTTGGTTTTTCTGGTTCCGAATCGGTTCAAAATTAGTGGGTATTAGAACAGTCCTCCAATATTTTTTGTGCGCAAGCAGTTCTGCGCAATCCCAGAACCGTTCCAAATTTAGAACCAAAACAGAGCTGATATCACTATTTTATAGAGAAATGTGCCTACGCCATTTCTATTTTAAACATGACCATTTGATCAACCAAACTTGAGGATGAAGGAATGGTATAGGAAAATTCAGGGGCGTGCCCAGGGGGGGAGCAAGGGGGCATTTGCCCCCCCCCCTAAGACAAAACACATCATATTGAAGATTTTTTGTACACTACCCGTTACAAGCTGCATAAGTGAAAGATCGTTTTCTACATTAAGAAGATTGCTTACGTACCTCCGTAATACCACAAGCACTGCCCGTCTTATGCCCGTTTCCACAAACTATTTTAGGGAAGCCTTAACGATAAGTATTCCTTATATTATACTGACATTTCGCCATGGAAAACTGTCAGTTTAGGGAATACTTATCGTTAAGGCTTCCCTAAAATAGTTTGTGGAAACGGCCATTAATGGCTTTGCCCTTCTCAACATTCATACCGAAATATCGGTATCTCCCAATGAGGTATTAGACGAATAAGCTACAGTTAAGCGCCGATTAAATATAATTATAATAGAGAGATATCGGTAATCCAAATAGTGTCATGCAGTATTAGCGCCTACGTTATTTTCACATTAAACCTATGCGCGATTCGATTTTTAACACTAAGTACTAAAATAACGTTACCGCATAACGTAATTTACCCAGCATTTACGTTAAGCGCTATTTCGAATAACGTCTAAAAATAACGCCGTGGAATAATAAGTTATGTTATGTTTATTGTTTATTTTATTATTTTTGTTGTGTTCAAGTGAATATGGATTGTTCAAAAAATACTAAAAAAGCAAATCCTCTGTACCTGACCATGAACAACAGATAACACAAATCAAATCATAACAAGGTACAAGTTAGGCTACGTTTATAAAATAACGGATGCGAACAGGCAAATTTTACGTTAAACTGTTTTCCGATAACTCTAATTTGAAAGTATGATACCGCTTTACTTTAAAAAAATAACTCCTGACGTTATTACCGTCCATACGCGCTATCTGTTTTACCGATATCTCTCTAATATGTTGTTTTAATTTTGTAGTTAAGTTTAATTGAATATTGGTATAAGGTGACATTTAAATCCTTGTTTTAATTTCGAGACCAGAGCCGTAGGGAGCGGAGGTGGGTGGCCTCTCCCCCGCTCCCTACGGCTCTGGTTTTGCCGAGGGCGGCGAATCCTTGTTCTTTTAACGATTTTAACGACTTCTTGGCAAAAATTGGGCGAGGCACCCCTAAAATTTTCCCGGCTACGCCGGCTTTCCTCCTGCTACGGGCATTGTTGCCCCCCCCCCCAAATGTTTTTTCTGGGTACGCCACTGGGAAAATTTCCATCGAGAGTTATTGGATGCGCAATAAGAACAGGCAGCTATATGCGTTATTTTGGCATCTAAGCAGGCGCAGCTAGTTTTATAAATAAAAAATTCCAATAACGTTTGCGGTTATGTTTTTTATAATATTATCTTATTATGAATTCTGTAAGGATTTGGCACAATATTTTGCTTGTTTTAAATTGTAACTGGGATTTAGGTGTTTAATTCGGTTCGAAGGTTTTTTGGATCTTGCAAATTAACTATTACATTCAAAAAGCATAGCATAAGCTTCCAAATAACACAAAGATAAGGCACGCAAATTGCTTTATTTCCGCACAACTACACAACAAAGCGTTCTATAGTTTGAGCTTAGTTGTCTTCAACACTTGACACCGAAGTGAAGTAATCCATTATGTACGACGGCTCTGGATGGCCACTGTATTTTTTTTTTGGAGGTGTAAATTGACAGATACTAAGTGTAAATTGACAGATAAGGGAGAGTGGGGCAACTTCGACATGCGGGGCAAGTTTGTCACCACGCTTTACTAGGAATCGGTTGGATTCGGAAATTCTGAAACTGGCTTGAGGGTGCATCGTACGTATCAGTTAGTTGCTCCTTAAGTCTGGAGAAGGTAGCTACTCAATTTGTCGCATAAAACGCAATTATCGAGTATTTAAATTTCTGATCTAAGGATTGGCTATTACTTTAATAATACTTCGTTCCGTTAGAGCATTCTATTTCGCAAGTTAATTTTCACAGAGTGACTTTGACCCATCTTTTATAGAAATATTTGATAATAGGCGGTAAAAAAGGCTCCTGTAAGATGTTTTTAAATATTTTACTAGAATCCGCTGGGGTGGGGCAACTTCGCCAATCGTTATTCCGGCACTGTCGAACTATTATTTTTGTTTCTAGGATGATTAGAGATTATAAAAAAAAACGATCTGATGTATAGAGCAGTTAATTTTTGCTGTGATTTAAATAGAAAATAAAATTCAGGTATTTGTATCAGAATTATGCTGTCGAATTTGCCCCATAGGGGAGGGCAAGTTCGTCATTTGACATTGATGCGAAAAAAAAATATTTTTCTCTTTGAATTTATACGATATTGGTTTTAAATGCCTATTACCTACTAGAGAAATGTTATCACTATGTTTAGATAAAGTTGTGTTTATTTCTGTAAATACAAATCGTTTTTAAAATCTTGCAAACCTTAACATGTCGAAGCTGCCCCACTCTCCCCTACTAAGTGTAAGATAGTACCTATGTGTACATTTACAATCAGTACCTGTAAAAGGACCCCGCACCCGATACATGAGAATTTCGGAACCATAATATTTTCTTTAAATTTTAATATGTTGTAGGTATGGATAAGTACTTCACAAAAAAGTAAGTTAGAATATGGTGGCTCCCTCCGTTTGGCTACAGTGGCATATCAAAGTTACGGCCATCAAAATACAATTTTGCATTGTTTTCGCATTTTGATGCCAAAAATTAACCTATATTTGATGGATAGTAACAGCGGCGGGTATACAAAATAATGTTTAGTATGCAAGTCCAGTGGCGTACATTGGAATACTGGAAAATTGTGACAAATCTTTGTGCGGTGGTAATTGGAAAAACTTAATCGGTTATCAGGCTGAAAATAAGTTCATATTCGATAGATAATGACAGGGGTGGATATTTAAACTTACAACACAATAATTTTCATCCAGTGCCGTAGATAACAGTAGTAAAAAATGGTGAAAAATCTTCATTGTGCGGTGGTAATTGGGAAAAGTAATGAGGTTATCACTTATCAGGTTAAAAATAAGTTCTATCTGATAAATAATAATAGATGCGAATATTTTAACTTAGAATACAACAATTTTCATCCAGTGTTGAGTCGAGTGCCATGGATAACAATAATAAAAAATTGTGAAAAATATGCTTTGTATGAGGTGGTCATTGGAAAAAGTAATTAGGTCATCGGGCTGAAAAACAAAAGAAATCATATAACTTTCAACACATCGATCACTTGAAAATTATTATTATTATCAGCTTATGCTAAGCTATACTGTTTACTGTCCAACTGCAGGACGACGATCTTGGAAATCTTAACAACATTCAACAATCTCGTTGAAGGATAATGCACTACACTTCCTCGATGCCTTCCCCCTAACCCAAACTAACCCAAATACCACAAAATGCGAGATACATACACACACCCAGAGTTCTAGCTCCTGCTTTACATGTGCAATAGCATGATGTAATAGGATCTGGTAGGAGAGCCGGGGACCCTCAATGTCAAAGACATTGGAAGTAATATGCTGGTTGACATTTTCTCTTAGCATTCGATCCTACAGCATGTAAGCTGGATATCACGAAGATATGAAATCGCCAGAGAGTCATGTAATTCGGCATCTGCTATTGGGGTCCAAGGACCTTATCCAAATCTGCGATTAATAATTTCTTCGGCTACTCTTTGTTGAAGAAAATTCAGCTCTCTAGCAAGTTGAAGCATTCTCTCTGCTCTTGCAACTACAGCTATAGGGTGTTCCATTAAAAAAATGGAAATTTTATTTGTCCACCCTGTATATAGTAGAGTGACAACAAAAACAATACAAAAAAGTTATAGATAATTTTATTAGAAACAACTTTCGTATTTAAGTTTTTTAATAGCCCTTGTAAATTTCGAGATAAGGTATAGGCCCCTCTTAAACGGGCCACCCTGTACATAGCTATGGATATGCCAATCTATAGCATAAAGGTGCGAAAATTAACTTTTCAACTTGAGGATCATAATGTCTCAGCAAAAACAAAACCAGCTCCCAAACCACCTGGACAGGGGAAAGTTGTGGACAATACCGTGACTTTGCTCCATTACAACGTGAGATCCATCAGAAATGAAATTCACAAACTGGACCATCCCATCGTCATCATCTGCCTAACAGAGCATTGGCTTGACGCTGATGAGATGGATGCTTTTACTACACAGGATTATAGGGTTGCAGGTTTCTCGAAAAGAACTCTGTCTGACGGTGGAAGTTCTGCAATTTTAGTTAGTGAAAGTTTCAATTTTGTGTAGAGACCTGTAGTATACGTATAATGATGGAAAATGTATAGGATTGTGCGTTGAAGCAGCACGTGGATAATCCTGCCTATTGACAATGTCTTTTTAAAAGTTACATATGAGCCATTTTTGGCAGAGATTCTAAATATTCATCTCTCGGATGATCTAGGTCAAACCCTTTAGGTTTAACTTGAGGCTAGAAAATAAAATATACTGTTTAAAAAAAAGTTTTTCGATTCAGAGGGGCTTCAACAACTGGGCCTCTTTCCTGGGATTTTGTGGATAGTATTGGGGCGAAATTCTGTATCTTGATGGAGTCACTGCGTCACTGGAGGATGCATACATCATACATGCATTCCTTCCCTGAGAAGAATTTTTGTGTAAGATGGGGATCGCGCCAACGGTTAGTTCGTTTGATAATGGTCTTGAGGATATGAGAGAACATTCACATCTGTTGAATGATCTATGAACTTTTTTGCTGGTATAGCAGAAAATCTAATGAAGGACATTTGGACAAGAGACTAATGAAAATCTCTTAGATCTCAACAGAATGAAAACTTTGGTAAGTTAAGTCCGCAGTATAACAAATAAAGGACCAAAAGAATACGACCGCTTGTACGTGCACAAACAGAACTTCTCAGCATTATTTATCTAGGTAACAGGCCATTTAATATTTGTTGATCGTTTTAGGCTAGTTTTGGTAAGTTCTTCAATTCTGTCGCTACGAGTTTTTGTTGCATGAAATATGCTTCTTCTCACCCTTCAGGCATCGTCCTTTATCATTCGTGCTGCGGGCATTAGTGAAATTCTCTCGTTTTTCTTTCTTCTTTAAGATCTTTTTATCTGATTTTCTTTGAAGCATCAAATTTAATATTTATACGATGGAATGAATCCCAAATACCTACATTTGGTTTCTCTAATAATTTGTTCGTTTACATAATCTTTATGTCCATTTTATATTGTGTAAAAGTCTCGAAACATACTATTTCGAATGTTTCATATTCAAATAACATTTCTGTCATTCAAATTCGAATCAAATTTCGTATTTCTTACAGAATGGGTGGGCAAGTGGATGGCGAAAAATTTTATAATCCCTCACCGATGAACCAGTTTTCATAACGGATTTAAGCGGAGGCAATTTTTTTTCAAAACTGAACATTGAACATTCACCATAAAACCTATGAGCTAGAAGACGAGCTAACAAACATACAGTGGGATATCATAGGCATAGCAGAGGAAGTAACTTTGCACATTGAATGTATTCTTTAACAAAAAACAGTGAAGAAAATGGACAGGAAAAAAAATATCAATAAAAATGCGATCGCACTAAATCAATTGTCAACTGTTAGCTACTACAGACTCGTACGGGAAAAACTAAACATCGATAGCCAATTTGAAAAAAAAAAGAAAATAAGGATATAGGGATATAGGATACAAAAGCTCTAGATAATAAATATATCGATGAAATAAACGCTAGTAACAAAAACATACATAACAGGAATGGAAGTAGCTTAGAGAAGAACAAAAAGAAAACTATATCTGTCCAAATACACTAGAACTAATGAGTTCAAGAAAAACACTACTAGAACAAGGAAACACATTAACAGCAGAAAATAGCGACGTAAATAAAACTATTAAAGGAATGTCAAAGAATGATGATGATAGTTTAGACGTTTATTCAAACTATAGATGTTTGGTTTGTGTTGTAAATAACATTTTCACCATGAAGATTTTTTTTGCTACAAAAACCCGGAACCCTACTCGAAAAGAATTCCCCGAATAGTCGCGCTAGACGTAAACAACTCGATTTCTAGAATCCTGGCCGGGTTGTCGATGCATTTTCGTAACATTATCATTTATTCAAAATTCTAGAATAAATTTAAATCTTCACAATTAAAGTCTGGTCGTAGTCCTGACATTATTTCGTGTACTTTTCCTATTTTGTAGGCAAGGCCATAATAAATGCATTTACCTACCTATAATAAATGCATTCCAGAACTTCTATATGTTTTCCCTGACTTAAAAAAATACGACGGTAGTAAAATTATTACCTTCTGAGTCAAGTTTTGCTCCGACTAAAAATTCACAATCAGGAAAAATTACATTGACATCTCAGACCGTTTCCAGAAATGTGTCTCAATAAAGTCATAGCACATGTTTCAATTCATATTTTATATTCGCCCTCATTCAAAGTGTATCAGGATATTACGGTCAAAAATTGCCATTGATTTCCAATTATGAGTTTGATAATCTTGCATGAAAGCATTTCATGTTTTAGACATTTTTAAAATTTATCAATTTGACCAATTTTCTAATATTTGCAGTGCTCAAAAATGCTTTTGATACCTTCGACGTCGAAAAGAAAGGAAGCATAGGCACGGTTATGATCGGAACAATATTGGGCATGTTGGGCGTTCAAACTACAGATAAAATGTTGCAGGAAATTATTGCAGAAGTTGATGAAGACGGTAAGAATATTTACAGGTTTTGAATAATTTTCTAGTTATTTGAAGCTATAGTTATAATACTGCAATAAAAAATTATCTGTACCTTCAAACACAGGCACGTAGAAAAATGTTCAAACAAAAATTAACTTTAATAGCTGTAGAATAATAAACCTACTTTATTTAGGTTCGGGTGAACTTGAATTTGAGGAATTTGTTACTTTGGCTTCAAGATTTATGGTTGAAGAGGATGCGGAGGCTATGCAAGAGGAGCTTAAAGAAGCTTTTAGATTATATGACAAAGAAGGTAGGATAATTTTATTTCCAATAATTGATATTTGTATATGTTGGAAATAGATTTACAATACCACCTGACTTTTTGGTTTCCTCAAAGCAAATTTTCTTCTAGAATGTTCTTGTTATTGAAAGAGAATCACTATGTGCTCTCAAATCTTCATTTTCTCAGAGCCTCGGCACCAGATTTTCTTCCGTTGTCAAAGCTTAGAGGTTTTGGAAGAAAAAGACGTCTAGGAAATATCAAAGGAAAAATTCGTTCGATTTCTCAGAAAAATATACGAAAGTTTTTCTGCCTCCGATAATTCCCAGGTGAGTCAATCCGTTCCAAGCTTGAAAGCGGTAGCAGATTTGATGCTTGAACGTGAGGCAACTCTTTACAGATGACGCCGAGCCTACTATTATTTCAATAACATACAAAATGCTCGAAGCGAAGAGTATTTTATTGAAATAATCAGCTCAAAAGACTCTCAGAACCGAAGATCTGCAGGCGTGTACTACTTAATATTTTTCCAACATAAAGAACATTCTGGAAGTAAATTTCCAATGAGACTTGGATACACGAAAAAGTCAGGTAGTATAAATTTAATTATTTTTGAACATTTTATAAAAATGTTTAATTGGTTAAGGTAATGGTTACATCACTACCAGCACACTCAAGGAAATTTTAAAAGAATTGGATGACAAATTAACATCGGAAGAGTTGGATGGAATTATTGCTGAAATTGATAGTGATGGATCAGGAACGGTGGATTATGATGGTGCGTATTTTTGAACTAACCCAAATTATTGATCAGCTTTATGATATGTGCAAATATACCCATACATATTTGTTTATTTCAGAATTTATGGAAGTTATGACAGGGGGTGATGATTAGTAGATTTCCAGGCAAATTATTGAAAAAAGGAAATATTCATTACTAAATTGTTCAAGAAAATATAACACATTTTTGAAGACGTCTATGTGTGATTATTTCATGAATGCCTAATAAATATCAATGATTTTCTATAAATAAACTCTCCAGCAAAATTGCTTCTCCTGCTACCGAGAGTCAAGCAGGGCCGGATTTAGGCACAGGCAACCGAGGCAACCGCCTAGGGCGCCACAATTAGGGGCGCCAAATTGACAACAAATTTATTTCGAGTGAACAAGTTAAATAAAAAAAAAAGTTCTATATCACAAGGATGATAGGGAGATAATAAAATATCCAACAACATTGTCCGGTAATAGTTAATTTACGAATCACCACTGTCACCTGTCACCGCTCATCAAGGCACTTTCGAACCTCTTTGTCTCAAACAGATTGAATGGACTTTCGCTCTCAGAATTGAAAATCTTATAACCTTCGACCATTGCACACACTCGATCCCGATGGTTATAACATGTTAGATGGTGTAGATTATAGTAGGTCTGTTCTCACAGGAATCACAAACCAGCCAGAGCGTTTTTGCTTGGCGAAAATCTTCAACAACCAGTTTTATGACTATTTTCAGCGAATGAAATTCCCTCTGACTGGTTTGTGATTTCTGTGAGAATAAACTTATCAACGAACTCAACTCTGACTTTGCAAGCCAGTAAAGCCAGACTGGTTCATTTTTAGTGTTGATAAGTTAATTAGTTTTGGAAAACTATTTTTGTGTTTAGTTAATTTGAAAAATACATATTATACAGGGTGTCCAGAAAATAGCGTAAAAGCCCTCCACTAAGTAGTAGGGGATCCTTTGAGTAACCCTGGAAAAATAATTAAAAAAACAAATTCTCGACCATTCTTGAAAATATGAAAAGGTAAATGTGGAAATTCAACTTCCTTATTTTTGATTTCTCTTTCAAATTGTAATATTTTGTAGAAAGTGTTAGGTATCTTTTGTTGATTCATTACATATTAGTTTAATAGCTATTTATATAACAAGTACATAAAGTAAGGCTTTATTGTACGAATAATTTTATGGCCGTGCGAGCTTGCGAGCGAGGCTATTAAATAATGAGTCAATAAAGCTTGTTTATGTAAGCGTTATATACATGATTTTATGTACGATTACGACGGGTTTTTGTTAAAAACTAAAAAAAGTCTAATGAAAAAAGTAAAATTCGCGTAGGTATACCGGTTTCACCTTGCCAGGTTGTCAGGACCTGTTTCACCTTGGCAGGTTGTCAGGACCTGTTTCACCTTGTCAGGTAGTCCAGGTAGGCAATAAAGTAGCACTTTATTTTACTAGTACAATAAAGTGCTACTTTATTGACGCAAAACTATTCTATAAATAGCACTTTATTGGTCAATCGGACATAAAAAAATTTGTTGTTAACCTTTAAAACGCATTATGAAAATTGAAAAAATCTCTAAATTACAACAGGAAAAATTGATTTGACAACATTTTTCAGTCACCTTCGAATTTTCCAGGTAATTACATAGGTATTTAATTAATTCTGTGACGAATTGTCAACGGGATATTTTCAGTGTTGCCGATTTTAATAAACATTAAAATGCCAATAACTTTCTTAAGAATGCCACCATTTTTTCAATTATTTTTCTGGGGTTCCTTGAAGGGTCCCCTACTACGTAGTGGAGAGCTTTTACGGTATTTTTCGGACACCTTGTATATCTATTTTTTTTATATCTACAATATAGATCTGTTCTCACAGACATCACATACCTATCAGAGCGAATTTCATTGGTTATAAACTATCAGAAAACTAGGTTCTGACGATTTGCACCAATCAAAAACACTCCGAATGGTTTGTGATTTCTGTGAGAACAGACCTCATGTAATAAGTAAACGTATGATATACGCTTCTAAAAAAATGAAGTTACTTTTTTTGTCTTACTCTCTTAAGCGATAGCCTAAAATTCATTGTATATCATATTGATCTTTAACCATTTTGACAAATCAATTTGAGAAGGGGGGCGCCAGAATTGAACTTTGCCTCGGCATAAAATACCTATTGGACCGGCCCTGGAGTCAAGCCTTGTCCCAACTTAAAGGATCGAAGATTTGGGCAAGTCATCTAGACAGAAATTATCAGGTAGCAGATATGATTGAAAAAAACCTAGACCTGCTTGAGGTTTGGCAATGATTGAAGGATATGTCAAATATCAAAGGAATCGTTGCTAAGATGTTTACATACATCGAGCGACCTTCTGGAGGTTGAATTGGATCAGGGATTTTTAGATGAATGTCTCCAATGGAGCAGCAATTTATTCACGTATTATGTATATGAATATGGCCGTCCCTTATCTTCTCATTTACTCGAAACCAAGAGTAGCTTTCTTGAAAACGATCTCAGTAGCGCTTGCCTCGAACTTTGCGGTGCTTTTTTGTTGGCTAAACACAAAATGAAGTCATTTTTTTTTGTATTAATTTTCGAAAGTTGCTGTTTGGACTGATTCTGAAGTTGTTCTCAGTTGGTTAAGGGCAGGTATGATAGAACTATTTTGACAGAAAATCAAAAGTTAACTCTGGATTTTCATACTAATTCCAGAAGTTAACTTCTAGTTTTCTGTCAAAATAGTTTTATAATACCCACCCTTAGAAGCACTCTTTTCAGATGGACAATTTTTGTCGCGAATCAGATACACGAACTCAGCTCGGTTTCTCAGTGGCGTCATATATCGAATCCAGTCGGTTCAATCTCTCGAGGTACTACGAGGTATACAACGAAATTTGGTGGCATGGTCCTGTCAGATCCCAATTTCAATGTTCAAGAGCCCCGTTCAAGAGACGCCTCACTTTTCAGAACTTCGATCGCTTCCTACACCTAATTTTTCTCTTAATTTTGCATGATTGTCGAAGTTAACAAAATTGCAGTAGGGTTTCAGATTTGCGAATAATTGCAAAAAGTACTCCTGTGAAATTGAGGCCCATTGATGATATCAGAACTATAAAGGGCCCTTACCGCGGTTATAAGGTTTATTTGTTAAGGATTGATTGAGTTGGGACTCTGGTAAACTAATTAGCACAACACTGTTTTACCTACTGAACTTAATTTATTATTAATAAATTGGGAATATTCTGTCTATAACAACTAAACCCCTGCCCCCCCTGCCCCCCCTGTATCCGCCACTGCTTGCACATAAAACTAGATCTAAATTTTATAAACTTTTCTCTTCCTAAAGCCTTAGTAAAAATATCAGAGTGATTGTCAACAGAACTAATATATTGAAGAACAATTACTTTCTTTAAATAGAGATCTTTAATAAAATGATATTTTATTTCTATATGCTTTCCCCGTTTGGAGTTTTCAAAATTTTTATCATAGAAATTGCAGTTGGATTGTCCAATTTTAAAATAACAGGTTTCAACTCACCAAATTCAGATAAAATGCCTTTCAAGTTCACTAGTTCTTGGGTAGCTGCCCCTGCTGACACATTATCTGCTTTCATGGATGATAATGCTACACAATTCTACTTGCGGGAGTACCAGGCGATCGGATTACCAGCGTGATAGCATATAAATCCACTAACACTTTTCCTACTCGTTCTATCTACTCCCCAATCCGCATCACTCATTCCAACTAGTCCATTGTCACCTTTCTTGTACATCAGTCCATAGGTTTTTGTCATATTCAGTTAGCGTAAAATTCTTTTACCAGCTTTCCAGAGTTGCATAGTCGGTTTATCAAGATATCTGCTCAAAAATGATACACTAAAAGCAATGTCGGGTTTACTTACAATTGATAAATACATTAAACTACAAATCATTCTTCTATATGGAATATTTGGTTCTATTGGTTCTTCTTCATTGATTTGAAAGTTCTTTTTCATAGGTGTTGCTACTGAACGGCTTTCTTCTAATTCACATTCTTTTAGCAATCGTGAAATCATCTTTGTTTGAAAAATTTTAAGGCCATCTTCTGTGCGATTAAATTCCATACCCAAAAATGTAGAAACGTCCGAGATACTCTTAACTTTAAAATATGTCATATAGAGTTTTGATCACTTTATTTACTTCTTCATTGGGTCCTGTAATTAGTGCATCATCAACGAATAACAGTAAGTATCCATCTTCTTTAACGTACAAACAATAGTCATACTCGACATAACCTCATTAAATTTGAAGTTCCACCATTTTGGTGCATTTCGAAGTCCATACAGTGCACGGTTCAATTTTAGATAATTATAGATTTACAATTATTTAGTCCTTCAGGGGTTTTAATATAATATATTTCAGTATCCAGTACACCGTTTAAGAATGATGTTGGTACATCTATTTGTTTTAAAGTCCAATCCTTTTGCACAGCAACTGATATCATAATTCTTGTGGTTGGTAGTCGGCAAACTGGTAGATATATAGCTAAATTCTTCGCTGTCATTAGGAAATTGGAATCCTCTGGCCACTAATCGTGCCTTTTTCGTGCCATCTTCTTTAATTCTGAAAACCCATCGCGTGTCAATGGCTATTTGACCTTTTTGTAATTCTACAGGTGTCCCTGTGTTTAACTTTTCATGAGACTTTAACTCATTATTTATAGCTTGTCGTCATTCCTTTGATTCATTAGCATCTTGGTTTGACTTTGGCTCTACATCCGATGAAGATAGTAAACAGTATGCAACATATAACTTATAGGTAGGTAATCTTGTAAATTCTTTGGTTTTAAAACATTGCTTCCACTTGATGTATTCGATTTTCAGTCTCACTTTGCTCGTCTTCACTTTCTGTATCTTCCTGTTCATTCTCCGTCTCGTCTAGCTGATTTTGAATTTCTTGCATTTCGTCACTGTTATTGCCCTCCTCTTCATGTATAGGTATTATACTTATGTTATCTTTTTGTGTATTTCCTTTATACTTCATAAATCCCTCATCAAATCGCAAATCTCTTGATTTTATTACTTTTTCTTCATCTTCCAACCATAATCTATAGCCACCACCACAGTAACCCACCATAACTGCTTTTCTTGCTTTTGGGTCAATCTTTCGTCCTTTTGGCAATAAAGTGTACCATGCTCTATAGCCAAATATTCTCAGTTAACTGATGTCGTTTCTGCCATGCCAAATGTATGATGGTGTTT